AACTGTGATAGTAGGTCCCTGCATTGGCCATTTGGTGCCATTCCTGCAGGATCAGGCTGATCAGTGAGACACCAAGTCCTGGCGAGAGCCCTCCACGCCATTAGAATCCTGCATCTGCCACATACTGGCTTGGAAACTTGGGGCACATCGTGTCCTATGCTCATGTTCCCCTTGTACAGATGGGGAGAGCCCTGCCTTGTGGGGAGACTTATTAGTCCATGTGTGGTTCTCTCTGCAGGCGTCATGTGACTGGGGCTAATTGCTAGTTAGCTGTATGTTTCTTTAAAGAACCCTCAAATAGATGATACTGTGTCTGAACTCTAAGGACCTTTGACAGCAGCAGCAGTGTCCTGTTTGATACACCCTCTGCCCCCTCATGTACGTGAGGATGGGTGTGATGATTGGCAGAAAGCATTAAAGAGCTCCGGGTGCCTTCCCCTGACAACTTCACTGTCCTCCCGTCGTTCATCGATTTGCTCGAGCAGGCCCAGTAATGTCTCATTGGAGACTTTGACGGGTAGCTTGCCAGGCTCCGCCGTGCGGGCGAGATACTCTCGGTAGCTTGCCGGGCTCTCCGAGAGGGGCAGAGGAATCGAACTCGGGTCGGCCATGTTGGCTGCTTGTAAGGCAAACGCCCTACTGCTGTGCTATTGCTCCAGCCCATATGTTATTCTATATAATAAATATATTAATAATATATATAAATATATAATAAATATATATATAATTATATATCGTATAATATAGTACTATTGTAATATATATTATACTAACATAATTTTGGGGGATATTATACTAACATTTTTTGGTGGGGAGGTGGGTGTTATTTTTCAAATGAGATTTAAATTAATTTTTGTCATTTGGTTTCCTTCTCATGTATTTGTTTTTAGAATGCACTCAACAACTCTAGAAACAGGTCAGAAATGTCATATTTTCTTATTTGCATTTGGAAAGTTCTCTTTGTTAGCTGGGCCATGCTCTGCATAGCTGATTGTGTGTGTGTGTGTGTGTGTGTGTGTATTCTTTTTTGTTAGTTTTTGAGGCACTGTGGTTGACAGTGCTGTTTACGATAGTTTTGTAACACCAGACCCAACACCAGAGTGTCTGCTTCCCACCACCATTATATGCTGATAATATTGATTACCATCCATTTCTCAAATATACTTTCCTTTAGTGATTCCATTCCAAATGTTAGTAGGACCAAAATAAATGTATTCAACTTACACAAACTTTGGGCAAGAGAAATGGGGTAGGGGACAATTGAGCTTCTGCACTTTAATTTAGCTTTGGTTTTGGGGCCACACTCAGCAGTGTTTCGGGGCAGCTCCCGACTCTGCACTTGGGAGGGAGGGGGTTGCTGTAGCAGTGCTCAGGAGACCATTTGTTGCCAGGGATGAACCCAGGTCTCCACATGCAAAGCCTGCACTCAGCTCATTGAGCATCTCTCCAGCCCCTGCCTTATTAAATGCTATTCATGTTCAAGAGAATCTAATGCATTAAAGTCCAAACAGTCAGCGTGCATGGAGTGGGAGAAGATCCACTCACCATTTCTAAAGAACGGGGAATGTTAGACAGTCTTGACTTACGTGTTTCTTCTTCCTGAATGAGACACCCTGCATTATAGTAGGTCTGCATAGCTATCAGCCGAGTGTCAGAGCACCACACCCCCTGGCGACCACCTCAGTCTCTGGGTTTCCACTCTGCTCTCTCCTGCACCTTTCCACAGCTGTTAACCAGAATATCATTAACTATTGCTTTTTCCCATGTGAACAAGCCAGATTCCGAAAAGGATTCAGTACCATCGACCATATCCACACAATTACTAAGCTCATTGAGGTTTCTCAGGAGTTCAAGATGACGCTCTGTCTAACGTTCATTGATTTAAAGAAGGCCTTTGATTCTGTTGAGACGGAAGCAGTCATAGAAGCCCTAGCCAATCAGGGCATACAAACTCAATACATCAGGATCCTTCGTGAGCTCTATTACGGATTCACTACCAGGATCTCACCATTCTACAAAGAAGTAATCATCCATGTCAAGAGAGGGGTTTGGCAGGGTGATACCATTTCACCAAAACTCTTCAGTGCCACCCTTGAGAACATCATGCGACGACTGGAATGGGAAAGCATGGGAGTGAAGATAGATGGTCAGCAATTACACCACCTCCGCTTTGCTGATGACATCGTTCTAATAACACCAAACATCAGCCAAGCGGCACAAATGCTGACTGACTTTGACCGTGAATGTGGAAAGGTCGGACTACAGCTGAATCTTACGAAGACAATGTTTATGAGAAACAGCCTTGTTCCTGACGCTCTATTCACTCTCAACGGAACCACCATCTCCGAATGCAACAGTTATATATACCTAGGTCGAGAAATCCACATGATGAATGACCTGGCACCTGAGTTGCGCAGGAGGAAGAGAGCGGCTTGGAATGCCTTCAAGAGCGTTGAAGAAATAACTAAGAGGACAAAGAACCTCCAGCTACGACCACATCTCTTCGATTCCACTGTTCTTCCTGCATTAACATATGCCTCAGAGACCTGGGCCCTGCGAAAACAGGATGAGAATGCTATTTGGGTCTCTCAAAGAGGAATCGAAAGAGCTATGCTTGGAATATCACGATTCACTCAAATGAGAGATAGAATCTGGAGTTCTGATCTTCGTTAACGCTCAAGAATCAGGGACGCTGTCTCATTTGCCAAGGCATCAAAAATCAGATGGGCTGGACATGTAATGAGGTTTACAGACAACCGCTGGACTAGAGCCATTACTGATTGGATTCCATGGGACATCAAAAGATCGCGTGGACGCCCACCTACAAGATGGTCAGACTTCTTTGTCAAGACCCTGAATGATCGGTTTGAGGCTCTGCATGTTCCTAGAACGAACAGATGCCACTGGGCTACGCTAGCACGCAACCGGGATGAATGGAGATGTTACTGGCACCCGCTTGAGTAAATCGATGAATAACGGGGATTAAGTGATTGTTTATTCCATTTTTTCGTTCTCCCCCCCCCCCCCCCACCACCACCACATAGTGCTGGGAACCAAACCTGGGGCCCTGCCACCGAGTGAGCTCCACTCCTGCCCTCTCTTACTTGTGGAGCTGGTGGTTCAGTGGCAGGACTGGGAAGTGGTACTGGGATTGCCCGGGCCCCCAAGTGCTGCACGTGATGGTGCTTGGGGGTAATTTGCCAAGCAGACCCAGGTTCAACCTGATGCGGCACCCACCTGCCCTGTACTGGTACACCGACCTCAGTCCATGGGAGAGAGGTTGTTTGGTGTTGTCCTTCTCTCTCTGGTTCACTTTTCCCATGACCCCCTGCTTTGTGTTTGTGTTTGGGGTCACACCTGGCAGGGCTCGGGGTTACTCCCAGCTCTGTATTTCGGGGTCATTGTCAGTGGTGCCCCAAGGGAACATGGGCTGTCAGGGATTAAGTCCAAGCTCACGTATGCAAAGCACATTCACCACCCTGTGAACTAGCTCCCTGCCCTGGAGCTGACTTTTTAGACTATGTCTCTGATAGTTTATTTTTAGCATTTTGATTTTTAAATGTCCACCCATTATTAAATGCAAGCCAATATCACCATTTAAATGTATATAAAATGAAGTCTGAATACCCTGCTTTGGGTATGGTGCAGGATTTTTCCTTTGTAAATTGTACTTATTTTATGAGATGTTACATTTTTTAAAAAAATCAGAATTCATTTGATATTGAGTTACAGTATCTTAATGTATCAGGGTGACATACTCAAGTGAAGTGTCAGTGTGATCGTACTGACTTAGCTTACTACAGAAATAGAAGCAGGAGCTAGCTTGAAGCGGAGGCACTATGACCACAGGCAGCAGCACTGCTTGCAATTGTAGATGTTTATTAGCTCATAAAAAGTCAGTGTGGAAAACTGACTCTTGAATAATCAAGGAACATGTGGGTTACTTGAACCTTGAGCAGAGGATTTCTGTGACTTGAATTAGAAAAAGAAAATACCATGAGCTTGAATTTCAATGGCAAAACATATTCCAACTGTTATTATTATTATTATTGTTTTGCGTTTTGGGCCACACCTGGTAGTACTCAGGGTTTTCTTCTGACTTTGTGCTCAGATTCACTTGTTGTGGGGCTCAGGGGACTGTATGGAATGTTGAGGGTCAAAACTGGGTTGTTGAATGCAAGGCAAGATCCCTACCCACTGTACCTAATCTCTGGCCCCTCCAGCTTTAATTGAGAAGTATTCAGGAACAAAGCAATAATGTGTAGACACATGCAATTTTCTTTTTATTTTACATTTTTTCCACCTCACTCGTGGAAAAGAAAAAAACGACTTTCATTCATTTGCAACTTGGATATGAATTTTCAGAACAGATCTTAATTATCATTTTTGATGAACAGTTTGCAATTCTGAGCAAGGCTTTCCTTCCCGGCATTTACTAGGCAGTGTGAGATGTGAACTCATGAACCATATTCGGTCTCTTCTTTTGTCCTTCCGACTCTCAGTGCTGTGTGGGGTCCGCGGAAGACTGTGACCTGGGAGGCAGACCTCTGATTCCGTGAGGCTTCAGCGGCCTGCAGCTGAGTGACCTGAGCAGGTCACGAAGCTGATGGACAGCTGTGTCCATCCGGAGGAAGCCCAGATGCGGACAGTGAGCGGTCCTCCTTGGCCTTAGTTTCTGGGCTCAGCAACAGTAGCATGGATGCATCCCACATGCTGTTGGTTCTCCCTCAGTGTTGCCTCCCCAGTGTTGACCCGATTCCCTCTTCCACACATCTAAGAACACCCTCCAGTTGGCTCTGCAGCCGAGTGTGTTAACCCACTCTGGAAGTGTGTTAGAGGCACCTGTAGAAAGAAGTGCCTGTTGCTGCATCAGGAAGTTGTTAGGGGAGTAGCAAGCGTGTCTCATCGGATGAGGTGGCTCTTCCATCTTGGAACTTCGGTGCTTGGGTGCTTGGTCAAAGCTGCTGGTGTTAACTTAACCCGTTTTGCTTGCTCCCTAGAACCATGTCAACCCGGCCATGGACTTTACCCAGACTCCTCCTGGGATGCTAGCCCTGGACAACATGCTGTACTTCGCCCAGCACCACCAGGACGCCTACACTCGGGTAAGTAGGAGGCCCCTTCAGCTGCTCTGTCTGAATTTCAGACTTAGGCATTTGGCAAGATTACCTTTCCATGAAGGACCCAAAGTTTTGACATTTGTAACTCAGTTAAAATCAAAATTAACTTAGTTAGGAGCATGGCAGTGAAGTTTTAGGAGCTTCATCAGGTGGAACCCTAGGAATCCTAGGACCATACTTGGTGGTACTCAGGACTCATTTGATTGCTGGGGATCAAATTTAGAGTCTCGCAAATACTTGGCCTGTGTTCTACGACTTGAGGCATATCCCAGGCCCTTGAACAGGAATTTTTAACCTTTCAATATGATTTTGAAAATGAGAATGGAAAGTATTTTGTATGATTCCTTGTTAAATTATGATGAATAGTCATAAAAAGCAAGGAAAGGATCTATGAACCGTGCGTGATCCCAGTGTCAGTGGGCACCCCTTAGATCTACCCACAAATGGGTAATGCTCTGGGCGCTGCCCTGATATTGTTTTCACTCGGTTTACTACCTGGGATGCAAGAAGGAAACACAAGGAAGAGGAAGATGGGAGAGATGGGAGGGAGAGACAGGGCTTCTCTCAGGTCCTGGAAGTTCAGTGAAACTCCTGTTCTGCAGTTGGATTCCTTTGTGGGGGGCAGAAGGTCAAGCACAGATGCAACCACAGCCCAGGTCAGTGCAGGTGTGGGAGAGTAGGAATTGCCTCCAGTGATGTGACAAGAAGCCAGCCCTCCAGGCTGCCATTCGATGGCTGCCCGGAGTTCTCAGGGAGACCCCGTGTGTGGAGGGAGTGAATGAGAGCGGTTCAGGTATTTGAACTAGTTCCCACAGCAGACAGAGCGAGCTGGGCTTAGAATTAGGAAGAGTCGGTCATGTTCTCTGTGGGGACCCTCTCAGTGAGGCTTCTGGCCTCTTGCAGACCAGGTTCTGGTGCCATTGTTTTCAGGTGATACATATGTGGCCAAGTCCTTTCATCTAAGCTTGAGTAAATGAGGGAGATTGGGTGGATGGTTCTCCATGGGACCAGTATTCCTAGGATGTGCAGGGCATTCTGAAATTTGCAGGTGTGTTTCCTAGGTGGTAAACTTACCCCCATGGCTGCTAATCACCCAGAACCGTGATTCTTGCTCAGTGCAGTTGGTCTATACAGTGGAAAATCGTCCTTCGCATCAAGGGCCCATTTGAAAGAGTTGAAGGAGTTCTCTGAGTTTCCTAGCTCTGTATTTAAACCTTCTGTGTTTTTCTCTACTTGCAGTTTGACCCGCCTCAGGTTTTACTGAAATATCATTTATAATTTGGTTATGGAGAGGCTTTTATGCAATTTTTCAGAATGGTTTGGGATTTGGTACTTGGTGAAAATGCCGTATTCCATAAGAGAATTGATCTTTCCTAAAAGTTTCATTAGACTTAGCTGTGTATATATTTATTGCACAGATTTTTTTAGGAATGTAATTTGCTCTCACAGTAAGTAAATTAATATTTTGAGAGTTGAATGTGGAAAGAGGAAGTCAAATAAAAATCGAATTTAGCATTAACTGATTGATGTTTGTGGATGACTGTTTCTAAAAATAGAGCTTACCAATGCTGGATATGCTGTTAATTGCACAAGCAGCATATGTCTAATGAAAAATAATTTAATGTTTTAAGCATATTTTTCTTAGTGCATTCTCTAAACTGTTATCAGTGAAATTAATATCAAAGCAACCTGACAGAACTTTATGTCTGATGGTTACTTAAAAGCAGAACCTCTTTGTAAAGAAAAGCTTGTCTCCTGTGTTCTCCCCACACACACTTCCCTTTATTGATTAGAAAGTTTTACATCTGAGATCTTTGTAATTTTCTCAACTGTGCCCCTTTCCTGTTGCTTTCCTGGGTCTTATTTAACTTTGGGTGACTCAGCTGTTGGATGGAATACTAGAACATCTTTATGTGAATGAATGACTCTGGATCAGAATTCTGAGCTCCCAAGGGTCCTGGGCTACCTGAAAATCAAGATTCCACTGTCAGTGAAAGAATGATTTGAATCATGAAAATAATCATTCCTGACAGTCAGACTTTGAGTTGGGAACTAGGTGTTGTATCTTCTGAGACTTAAACATAGATTTATTTTTTAAATTTCCATTTTGATGAAATTTTGTTTTTTAATACACAGGCAGATATTCTGAGTACAGTTATTTATCTTTCATTCAAGAAGTCTTTTACTTTATGTGAAAATAGCATTGACCAGTTTTTTTCTTTATTTTTTTTGTGAGGTCAAAGATGTGTTTTTGCTGTTGTTGTTGTTTGTTATGGGCCTCTGCTGTTAGCGCTTAGGGCTTACTCCTGGCTCTGCGCTCAGGGATATTCTTGGTGGCACTCAGCAGCTCTGTGTGGTGCTGAGGATTGAGTGTGGGATGACCACGTGCAAACATCTGGCCTCCCTGCTGTCCCCTCTCTCCAGCCCCAGATGGAGAGCTTTGAAAGGAACCTCACACACACAGTTCCATAAACATACCCACACGCAGACACTCCCCCTCCAGGCCACCCTTCCCAGCTCTTGCATCCACATGCTCCTATATGTTCCTAAGCCCTCTCCTCACCCCCTCCCCTCGGATCTGTGCTTCTGCAGAGGCTGGGCGACTTTCCCCAGGATCATTTGACTGTTTCTCTCTTGCCCTCAGCCAGGAGGAGCCATCCGAGTCTCTCTGTGAGCATCTCCCTAGAGGGGTCAGCAGGGGTCTCTCTATGAGCTCTTCCATTCTGAGGAGCTCTCCAGGGCCCAGGAGGACGCCCAGGATCAGCTGAGACTGTGGAAAGCAGACCAGAAGCAGGAGAGAGAAGGCCAGGACTTGAGAAGAGGCAGCACACCCCAATCCCTGTAACAGCATATCTTGATTGGAGAGGGAAGTGCCAGGGGCAGAGAGGGCACAGCTGATAAATGTGCAGGACAAACCAGGGACACTCCCTGGAGGACGTTTTTCTACTCTGATGCCTATTGGGTCAAGGCAGTCAGGTGAGGGAAGGGGTCCAGAAAGTGCTCCAAGGAGAGGGAACTGTGACATAAAGGCCAGTGCTCTGTAAGGATATTGAAGTAGAGCTAAGACAGGGGATGGTGTCAGTGATTCCAGGGAACTAGCCCTGGTGACTGGGTGTGAAGCAGGGGTGCTGGGAGCATTAAGAAGGAAAATGCATGGGACCAGGGGCTCACAGTCTTGTCTATCACATTCCATATTTATCTCATTCCCTATTCCACATTCCATATTTATTGTCTTAAATCCATAGTCACAGGAGGAGCAAGGCCATCGTTTACAAGGCTGCCTGTCTGTTCCAACCTAACTGGGCTAAGCTAAAGCAAGTCAGTGGGAGCTGCATGACTGAAGGGACAGAGCAGGCATGTGAGCGACAGTCTCTAAAGTGGGTTTAGCCCACCAATACCACTCCTGGGAATATATCCCAGAGAGGCAAAAAAGGACAGTCGAAATGACATCTGCACTTCTATGTTCATTGCTGCACTGTTCGCAGTAGCCAAAATCTGGAAAAAACCCGAGTGCCCGAGAACAGATGACTGGTTAAAGAAACTTTGGTACATCTACACAATGGAGTACTATGCAGCTGTTAGAAAAGATGAAGTCATGAAATTTACATACAAGTGGCACTACATGGAAAGTATCATGCTAAGTAAAATGAATCAGAAAGAGAGGGGCAGACATAGAAAGATTGCATTCATCTGGGGAATATAAAGTAACAAAATAGGACACTAACACTCAAGAATAGTTAAGTACCAGGAGATAAATACCTGGTACTTACTCCATGGCTTGGAGGCCAGCCGCACATGCTAGGGGAAAAGGCAGCTCAGATAGAGAAGGGAGCACCAAGTAAAGGGTGTTGGGAGGACCCTCCCAGGATGGGAGATGCATGCTGAAAGTAAACTATAGAACAAACATGATTGCCACTCATTGCCTCTTTTGCAAACCACAACACCCAAAAGGAGAGAACAAAAGGGAATGCCCTGCCATTCCCTTTTGGTGGGGTGGGATGGGGGGATAAGGGGAATGGGAGATAACGGGGGTAGGATGGGGGGGATAAGGGGGGAGGGAGAGATACTGGGATTATTGGTGGTGGAGGATGGGCACTGGTGGAGGGATGGACACTGAATCATTATGTAACTGAAACTCAAGCACAAAAATTTGCAAGTCTACAACTGCACCTCATGGTGTTTCACTAATAAAAGCACTGTAGCGCTGTCCTCCTATCGTTCATTGATTTACTCGAGCATACCCAGTAACGTCTCCATTTTTTTTGAGACTTGATACTGTGTTTGGCATGTTGAATGCATCACGGGTAGCTTGCCAGGCTTTGCCGTGTGGGCAAGATATTCTCGGTTGCTTGCCGGGCTCTCTGAGAGAGATGGAGGAATCAAACCCGGCTTGGCCAGGCTGACTGCACTGAAGGCAAACGCCCTACCGCTGTGCTATCGCTCCAACCCACTAATAAAATTTTTTTTAAGTGGGTTTAGCTCTAGGGATCTTCTTCGGGAGAGGCAGCAGAGATAACAGACGTTACAGGACCCCCTGGAGGGAGCTTTCCCACTCTAGATGCTGGCTGTCCAGGAAGTAAAGGTTCCATAACCCACTCTGTCTAGCCCCCCTCCTCAGTCTTTCTAACCTAGTAATCTTACCTGACATATGGTCGTGAACTGAGATATGAATATGGACGATTTCTCTAGGGACTTTTTATACTGCTTACCCCTGACTGTGCTCAGCCATCACTCTGGGTGATGCTTGCAGGATCACATGTGGTGCTGGGCATCAAACCACGATCAGCCCATGCAAGACAACTCCCTACCTATTATACTATCTCTCGGGCCCTTTGGGGACATTTGAGTTCATATAAGGTCTTTGTTTGAACTTGGACCAAAAGGCAGTGAAGCCTTTTCAGAGTGTCTAGTAAAGATGCTAAGAGTGTATCCCAGTTCTTTAATTAAAAAAATAGTTTATTTTAGAAAATTCACCCTCTTGCCAG